TACCCTGTGGCATTTAAAGTAAAATGGCTCCATGTCAGTCGGACACAGAAGACTCGTAACTGGAAAGACACCTTTAAGTTAAGTAGCTGACCTTGTGAAAGAGGAGCTAATTAGAAACCATTTCTGGATACTAGGAGCAGTGGGTTAGGATCTTAATTCTTCACTACATGTTTCACCCTGGGGAGACAAAACAGGCATTAAAACCAGGAGAAGGCAGGGCAGAGATGCACCTTACGGACTAAATCAGAGTTGCATAAGCTTTCATTAACAATGGCTTACTTCAGACATCCTGCTTATATCACAGTAGTTTTCCAGCTGTTTCTTTTACTGTCAAACTGAAGAAAGTAGTAGATTAAAGAGTAACCTAAACACAATGCAGGTGATACTTGTAAGAAGAACCAGCTTCCCCTGCAATATCCCCAACTGCCCATGGCAGAAGCCTGGACTTTAGTGGTGGAGGTGACTGGGGTCTTCAGGCTCCCCCTCCCTCCTCTGGTTCATGGTCCTTTGGTTCATGCCCCTGCTCCTGAGAGCGGGGCCCAGGCTGCCTGTGTTGTGACCTGCACGGCCAGGCGGGGGTTAGGGCTGTGGCATATGTGGTGGGGGGTGAGCCAGGCCACTTGCCTGGTGTGAGTGTTTGTTGGGATGGGGATGTACTGTGCACGTGGCAGGCAGGAGGATTGGGCTGTGCATGCGGTGAGGGGGCGCTCAAGGTCTGTGGCCCACACTGCATGCATGCCCCAGCTTCCCAGAAGTTGGACAGCACCAGTGTAAGCAATGAGACTTTTAAATTGGGCTATCACCTTTGGGCTCTTGTGTGTCTTATTTTTGTGTGTCCCACTCTCCATTCTGATGGACACAGAACCTGGTTTTGTTATTTACCCCAGACTTGGTCATGGTAACTGATTGTATCTGGAAATAAAACCTCACATGTTGGAAAAAAAGGTAAAGTAGGAAAAAACATGGTCATTTATCTACTTATCACCCTCATACTCTACACTGCTTTCCCAGTGAACTGAGTGTAGTTGAAGGTTTTGTATGCCCTATTCAGTTTCTCAAGAGATTTGGTCCTACCTTCTTTGTCTTCCATACCTGTAATCTCCAGAATGGTTATAATCCACTGGATTACCATTAGCAACAATCAGTGTTTTATAAAAGTATTTTATTTCATTTTATTTAACGTTTCCTTTTTGGTTTTGTTATTCAAATTGTAGTAAATTAACTTAATCTTGGAAACTATTCAGATCCTATAGTGAAAACAGCCATAAATGTAGTCTGCTAGATAAGAATCCCAGGCGTCTATGTGTGCATGCAAGGCAGACAGTCCCAGCAAATGGACTTTGAGCTTTCACCCTACCCCGCTTTAGAAGTTCATGACTGAAAAGCCCAGCCATTTCAATAAAGTTGTTCCCACCTTCTAGGAAAGATAGACTATCTGACAGCTTATCAATTTTTGCCTTAAGCCTAAAGTTTCCCAATCACTTTGTTTCACCTTGTTGGTCCTTTCTGAATTGCTTACCAAATTTCAGCTGCTGCTTACATTTACAGGGACGTTTTACTTTTGTCCACTGGGGGTCATCACCCAGCTTTGGCCATGAAAATTTTGTATCTGCATGGCAGCACTGCATATTTACTGCGGAAATAAATGCAATTGAATCACAAAGATGTTCTGTAATTGCAGCTTGCTAATTCCACTTGTAAATGGATAAAATAAAAATACAAGTACACTTCTTATTCTCTCATATTTTTATTCTGTTAGCAAATAACGAGTTGCACCTTTCCTGGCTGGAATGATCTAGTTGGGGATGGTCCTGCTTTCAGGAGGGGGTTGGACTAGATGATCTCTTGAGGTCCCTTCCAACCCTGACTTCCTGTGATGCTAGGATATGGACAGGAAATGGGTCAAAGCAGCTTCCTGTGCTCTTATCCATGGGACTTCACAGGGATTTGGGTTAGTGGCTACTGATTTGGTATTCGGTTCTTTGGCCTTCATGGGGACAACTAGGCAGCATTTTTCCTTTCGGAAGCAGAGTTCCAACCAAAGCATCCTAGTGCCCAGAGTGTATACCGCTTCTGAGCCACTATTGGGGGATGCAGCTTATCTTCCTTCTCTCCGGTTCATGCAGCTAGGCAGATCCACTGACCCCATGGTTAGCAGGGGCTAAATCATGTTTCCATAGCCTCCCCATCTGTTCTTTTCGGTATCCTTTATTTGAATGATATAAAGTATAGGAAAACGCAGTGTAATTCCTTTTGATGAATAACAAGGCAGAAATTGACTCAAAATGGATAATTCACCATATAGCTGGTAGGTCAAGGAATGCACCCAATTGACAAGGTTTATGCAAGTTCATTTAAAAAAATATAAAAACACCCTTTTCATACTAACTGAGATAGGAGCTTGCCTCTTAGTGAACTATCCCAAACTCCTGTGCCCTGGTGAGACAGAAATGTATCCAGGATGTATTCAGGAGTATCTCCCAACGCAGATTTATTTAGTACTTTATACCAGGGTGCAGAGAAGCCTGATGTCAATGGTAGGCTCTTGGGGACCATGCCCAGGCTGCCTTGTGGGCCTGTTTTCCAGCTCTGGACTTGCACTTGGTGAGGCTGTTGATACCCTGCTACCAGAGTTACCTGCTCAGTATCCCTTCCCCAGGTGACAGCTCTGGCTTCTCAAAACAGAACAGGCAGCCAGAAGCAGGGGTGATATTTCCCGCCAACTCTTTAGGGCTCAGTGGTGGGGATACGACCAGTCTCTATTCTGCCCATTCCCTAACCCCGGGTTCTGGGAGCAGGGCTGTCCTTCCCGGCAATGCTGCTGACTGACTCATGGGAAGCTCCGCATCAGAGTTAATGCTTAGGGCAGCTCTTTGGTATAACTGAGGAGAGTGTGTGTGTGTGCGCGTGCGTGTGTGTGTGTGTGCACACGCGCACGCACCCTGGTCAGGGAGTTAATATGCTGGATTTTCTAAAAACCTTCACCACTGTAACAACATGGAATAGATGTGCCGCGTGGGCATGCTAATGGAAAGTTAATGCAAATAAAACCCATGCTGTATTGATGGGACTTCCTGTGAAAAGAGAAGCTGTAATACAGGCTTATAGGAACACAGCAAGACGATTCTGAATGCCACAGGCAAGACTTGGCTCTCTTCTGTCCCAGGCCAGACATCAACATTAGCTAAAACAAAGGGACCACTGAACACTAAGATAGTGCCACTTATTGGTGTAGATGCTGGACCAATAACTTTCTATCCTCGAGCTTTATAGAATTTAAAAACAAGAATCTTATTGTTGTTGTATTTCTTAAATATCCAGGTGGTCTGCCATTCACACAGATTTATTTGCATGATTAAGTCCTCTATTTAGTCACTGGAACATTACTTGTTAGATACAGACCACCAGCAAGTACAGAGCTCAAATCATCCAAACCAGGCCCATTTCTTGTGGGCAGATGTCTGTTGAAAACTGCAATGTTCTGAGGTTGGGGGATGTATTTTCCTCCCCTGCAACCAGTGTCTCACTACAGGCTGTAGGAAACTGCTGACTTATTTCCAAATTTTGTTCTGCATCTGTTGGATAGCTGTTAAGTCTCTTGGTGTTGGCCTCTTTTGTCTTAGCCCCTTTTCTTGCAATGAACCTATGCACCAGTTGTTAATGTGTGACAAAGAGACAAGTTTTAGCTCTGTGTATCAGCAAGGATAAGATGTTCAGATTCTTAAATGCTGTTTCGGGTTTTTTAAAAGAAATAAAAGTACATTGGGATGTTTTCCTGTCAGTTTTTTCCATTTACAAAGCCACATCTTGCCTCATTCCTAGATGGTCATATCATTTTTCTCTATCTTTATTTTTTTCCTGGCATCTTCTGGCTCGCATGTAACTACACCCTGTGAAATGCTGTGCTCATGGCAGTGTACTATTGACCTATCGTCCATCTGTAGATACGGAGAACCTTGCTCCTTCTTACTGCTTGATCATCAACTCATAGTGAAGCACAGATAATCTTATATAGAAAGATTATAGGCTAGTTGAATGCTGGCTGATATGTAAAGTTGTGCATTAATGTTCTAGTCATCGCTGTTGGTCTTCATGGACTAAGTCTCTAGGCCTTGAATCATCAGTAATGTGGTTTACTTTTCCTGCTTCCCCATCACTCACAGGCAAGGCAACACTGGTCCTCACTTTGGTAATAAGAACTGTCAGCAAATTTCATGCAGGACCCATCATTCAAATTCCTTTCCTTGCTCCCTGAAGATGCAGCCAGGTGTAATGCTCTGTGTTTTATCAGTGTGTCCAGAATTGTCTTGTCAGCAAACATACGGAGAACAGCACTAGCACGTCTTCATGGTAACACAGCAGCTCCCTGCTCAGGGTATGAAAAGACACTGACCCAGGTATCCAACAGCTTTTTTTTTGTCTCTGCAGTGGTGCAAATATTAAAAGTTGGATACTTCTCTGTCAAAAAAAGGAAACCAAAAGAAGCAGAGCTTCTTTAGGGGGAAATGCCTGGCACTTCATAGAGACTGACTTGAAAGGCTTTCTATGAGAAATCAGTACTTCCAGAGTTGTTTTAGAAGTGGATTTTGCTTCCAAAAATATTGCCACCATAGTGGCTAAAAAGTTTAGAGCTTTTCTCTCTGGTCCTTGCAAATTTATTTAGCATAAGGAAGCAGTCGCTGGACTTGGAAAAAAGGGAAGATGATACCCTCTTCGGGCCAGATAAGGCCCTGAGCAGCACTTTAGAACAGTTGCTGCATTCTTCTGTGTTCTTTTTCTTATATTTATTTTTGGCTCTACTATTTCTCTCTGTTCAGTACCTAGTTTGGAAAAGAAAATGGCTTAGGTTTGGAATCTGTGAATTCCACCGGTCAGTGAATTCTGCTATTAACTCAAGTTTTTGTCAGTGGATGAAATAGAATAAGCAATATAATCCTCTTCAAAATCTGCTGTGATCTGAACGTGCCTTTAAATGTCTATATTGTTCCTTTTTGTTTCAGAGCATTTCTTCTACTTCGACTCCAGAATCAGGCCAACCTCCTGGTAATGGTCAGGACATAAAAAAGAAACATCGGAAAAAGAAGAGTGCAGAAAAATCTGGTGGTCAAGACGCCTTCAATTTCTTACCTGATGCTGCTGCACCGCTGGCTGCTGATGTCTCCCCATTGATTACAGGGTGTTCAAGGTAGGGAACAAACTTCCTACTTAGGGTTTATATGCAGGATGTAACGTAAGCTCTTCTGCTTGTGAGATTTGGTGTGTGTGTGTGTTTAATAAAGTATGTTAATATGCAATCAATTTTTAAACTCTTACTGATGGGTGATGATGTGGTTTGCACAATAACACATCAAAAAGTGGCTTTTATTCACCAAGCTGTCTTTCTCTTCAACTACATAACTGTAAATAAGTCTTCTCTACCTGTTTATAATAACTATTGACCTAAATTTTCTTTACTCTTTGTTCATATTATTAAATCCTTGTCTGAGATGCAAGAAGATTGAGAAATACATATGAGGTGTTAAAATATGGCTCTGAGCCAGGACTGAGTTTGAGAAACGTGGTATTTCAAAATATTTTAAACAATTTTTAAACAAATTAAAAAATGAAATAAGTGGAACTACTTGAGGAACTGAGATTACTATTCAGTGCTATTCAGGGTAGCAGAAGGTAACATGATCTGAAATTCATTGAATGACACAAGGGGGGCTGCTTTCTCTGAGGCAGTAATGCCATGTGAAGAGAATTCAGATTTTACTTTCTGATGTCAGGACAGTCTTCAGCTGCTACAATGGACTACCTGTTTAATAACAGCTTGATTTCAACAGGGTTTCATTCTTTTCCAAATCACAAGCATGAGTCAGGATATGAATAGTACATATAATTCATAAGCAGTGGCAGTGATTTACTGATAAGTAGCTAGGATTTTTGCAGTTGTATTTACACGGCACCTTCAGTAAGCTCACACACCTATTGACTGCATGTTCTGAACAGTAATGAAAACTATAGAATATGCACAGACCTTCCTCTGTTTGTACCTAGTTTGCACCTATAGTTCATTTTCTCTGTCTCAGCAATGTTTTGTTTTTTAACTTTTTAACTAAAAACCTCTTTAGAAGGAGGAAATACTGATTTTTTTTAAACTTGTTTACACAAAACAGAAAGATAGGTTCATTATTTCCGTACTAGATGTATTACATTTTATTGTAATTCATTTTATGTTCTTATACAGGTATCATGTTAGTATATCTCCTTTTAATCACTGCTATTTTATCCCAAGAACTATATTTGAAATCCAGTCCTTGGTGCTCTTTTTAAAATGCTATTATGAGGCTTTCTTTTTTATGGAGTGGATTTTAGTCGGTGATGATAAGCCTTACCTGTTGAGGCTTATTTATTTATTGTAATGTTCTTGCTTATTTCCAAGGTTATATAGTTCAGACCAAATCTTTGGGTCAACTTTTGGCTGGTAAAGCATAAATGTGCAAGAACATAGTTAGCAATGATAGCACTGGACAGCACTCAGGTTCTTGAACTGCAGAAAGCTTAGAGAGGAAATGCTCTGCAGGTTCTTGGCAGCTGATGGTATGGATGGATGTGGTGTAGTTTAGTCAGTGAGCGTAGCCAGTCTATTAGTGGCAACCTGCCCTGCCCTCTGTAGCCCAGTACCACCAGTGGACTCATTCTCAGTCTTCTTGCATATGGTTCCTATTATTAGCCCAGCGCAACATGTGAGAGTTTTACGAATAATTTGGTCTCACTCAAGATACAGTAACTTCACAGTATATTAGTCACTTCATTTTGGGAGGTATTTCCAGATGTAAAATTGGAACTTACTTTTTCTGGGATTCTTTGATTTTTTTGTTTATTTGATATAGAATCTGATCAAACAAAATGGTCAAAAAATACTTCAATGTGTTTGATAATACATTCTGTCTGGACTTGCATTTAGCTTAATAAGGCACTAATGAATTGCAATCAACTTACAAAAGTCGGGTGGTGGCAAACGTAATTTAACAGAGCCCCCCTTTAGAAATTCAAACTCTGTTACAAATTTCCCTGCTGGCTCCTGACCAACACTCAGCAAAAGCTAAGTGCAGAATTCCAACATTTGACGTATGGCACTATCCCACATTATCCAGGACATTTAATTCCTATCTTTTTTAAAATAATACCCATAGTAATTTAAAAATAACAATGAACATTGAGTGAAAAGCCCAACTGCTTATATCTACTTGCAGGTTGGATTGAAATTCCCACAAGCGCAGGCAGTAGTGTAAATAGGGGTGGGTGAGTCGGGCACGACTCCTGGGCCCCACTTACAGGGGGCACAAAATTGGTAACCACCACCACTGATGGTCTGGGTGCCTCTGCCTGACCAAAAATGTATTTTATGCCCCTGTGCATAGACTTGTGGTAGGGCCATCACTGCTTGTTCCCTGAGAGAGAAGAAGTTTTTAATATTTTTTTGGCTCCTGTTTTATTGCTGCTGTTGCATTTGTTGCACTGAAAGCATTATGTTTCCACTGATTTGTCATACTTTGATATACACTTTTTTGAATTGTAGCTCGTTCTCTTGATAAGCACATCTACACAGGGTTTTTAGTGTCTATACTGGAGAGAACTAAGTCTGAAAGAGTCTGAGGCTTCTACCACATCTATGAATAAATTTAGGCTGGAAATTGGAAAATGTATTGAACCGTCAAATATGTGCAGTTCCTGAGCAACTGTCTAATAAGCGTAGAGGGGAAACCAACCAAAGTAGTTCCATGTCACAGCTGATAAGGTTCATTAGCAGAATTGTACTGAATGGCTTGCTGCACCTGCAGGAATCTGGACATGATGAGTTAAGGAGAGAGTTCTTTCAGTCCCATGTTCCTCATTTTTTCAACATCTGCCTCAGCGGATCAGGCAAATGCAAAATTGGCAAACAGACCAAGTAGACCATCTTCAGTCAAAAATGATTTTCATAAGAAGGTTTCCTTCAAAAAAGTTTAATTGAATAAATAAGTGGATATAGTTCCTGTGGGACCAATTCTGGGGGGGTGAGGGAGTGGGGTTATATTGAAAACAAAGTTAAACTGATGATGCATTGCATTTAAAAAGATGCAGGAATGGTTGTTTTTCATAGGGAATCACTTGAATATCTTAGACCAGGTTTGCACTTGAAAAACCTGTACTTGCTTGGATTACGTTCCTCTCATCTTTCAGTGTGTCCTTGCTTGCATCTTCAAATCAGTTAAGCCCCAGATATCACTGATGCCAGTTTACAAAAATTAAATTTGGATCGGTGATGTAAACTTGAAGAGGAGGAAGAGCATTTCAGAGGCACATGTTCTCTTTTCTATTTCAACTACCATGTGCAGCTACATAGATTTAGTTTCCCTAGACAGTGTATGCTTGTGTAATCATTATACTGTATGCTTATTTGAGGATGTGTAACCAAGCTATCTTAACTAATGAAAATTTAAATTTCTTGTAAATTACTTGAAACACGTTGTAAATGACTGTTTGTGATGTGGATACTTTCTGACCTGTCACTTTAATTTCTAATACACAGAGGAATATACATTAGCAGAAAGGAGAAAATAAAAGAAGAAATAGATACAAACTAGCAGGGCTGGCACTAGATAGATGGCTCTGATTTTAACATAGCAACATTTCTACAGTTGACTGTTGCTATAAACCTGTAAAATTAGGTGGGGCTACCACAGTCTGCACCCTGTGTGGCAACAGCAAGAGATGGGCTGGCAGCAGCGGTGGCTGCTGTTCTTGCACTGCCTCTAAGTGGGAAACCAGGGATGGTACCCCAGTCACCCCCCTTTTGTAAGGCTACTGTGTAAAATGAGAACCATATATTTAAAACTACAACTCCACTGTTCTCGCACATCTTTTTACTGAGATAAACTTACTACCAATATCTGTAACATAGTTAATTCCTACGACCTTCTGAGACCTTCTCATGTAGGTCATCCTTGATATCCTGCTGCTTCTTTCTTAGCTCAGAAGAATATTTCTGAAATATATTTCCTCTGTTCCTTTATCAGAAAACATGTGGGTTGTCAGAAATTTTACTGTTTTACTTTAAGGATCACATGTGGAAAAAATCCTGTGAGATCCATATGTAAGAGCCACTTTAATTCATCACAGGAACATTAAAATATTGGAAGGGGATGGAACTGTGGTAGAAACATGGGGAAAAAAACCCTGGGCGATCAGGCTTTTATTACGAATCTAATACTGACTCATGTGGCTGACCCTGGGAGAGGCTCTTAAACTCTTTGCACCTCATTTTAAATATGTGTAAAATGGAAGTAGTAATATTTGGATGTTGAAGGACTTAATGCATTAAATATTTGCAAAAGCTTGAGATCCCCAGGTGTGTCCTTGAAGTGGGAAGTGTTGCACATAGCAGCTGTTGTTATATTGAAAAGTTTTAAATCTCTCCATAAATCAACAGTGGAATGTAGCCTTTCCAGTGTGAGAAACTCAGGAGCATTAAATCATTAGGATCTTGTTTACGAGCTCTGAGGAAATAAAAGGATTTTCTTAATATTTTCCATTATATATGCCCATCTCACCACCACATTTTAGAAGAGAACTTCAGCAGAATTTTGAAATTTAAAATACATAACCAACCCCAAAGTGGGTTGAAGAAGAGGGGGAGGAACATTGAGATTAGGGAATTTGTACTGACCCTTGTCAAAATGGTTTCCATTTGTGCTTTAAACTGTTTTCATTCAGGGCCACATCACCTCTCTCTATTTTTTGTTGTTGAGAGGGTAGAACTAATAAGAGAAGTGACACAAATGGCCATGAATCTGTTAGAGGGAAGAGACTTGAGTTTACCAAAATAGCACACTTCACAACTAAACTTAAATTTTTTTACAACTTTAACTTTTCTCCTTTTGCTCTTTGGTGCATGACAATTATTGCCACCCAGAGGAGCAAACTGTTGCTAAGTGATCTTCTGATTTAACATGGGCAGGTCTGTACTAGGTAACTCAGGGAGTGGTACCCTTGAACACATACAGCTCTTTGTGCAGGCTACCATTTGACCCAGAAGCAATGTAGTTGTCAATACATTCATATGGCACTGGGCTAATTACCCCTCTAGATTGGCAGTGTTAATTAGCTTGCTTGCATGATCACATGAATGCGGAGACCTACATTGCTACTGGTTCTAGAGGTAGCCCATATGGAGCAGTGTGTTTAAGATCACTGCTACCTAAAATTGAAAGTTTGTGGTATAGAGCTCGCCTGACCTCCTTGTGGCTTTTGATGTTGGGTTTATTCCAAGAATGTAACAATACAGTTGGCCATATTCTGTGCTGTCTGTGTTACTCCAGTAGAGTTACTCCAATATTTATTCTAGCAGAATTTCACCTGAACAGACTACATTTCAGAGTTTAGCAGGAAGGAGTTGATTATTTTTTTCTTTCCAAACGCATCCTATAGAAACTTGATAGGCTCTTGATACCTTGAGATTAACAAGAACAAGTACATACATTTAAAATCCCATATAGTGAGTATTTCTTTTTTTCCTGCTCCAGCCCAGGCAGAGAGAGCTGGTCAGTAGTGTCTGATTTGAAGGAAGATGATCCCCAGCAAGGAGTTAGGTGCCATAATCTTCTTTTTGCTGGTCTGGATATTAAGGAAGATGCAAGTTCACAGACCCCAGCTGTAAGCAGGTATAGAATTGCTAAATGTGAATATAGCAGAACGGCTATAGCTGACCATGTAATGTGTGTGCAGTGTTTTAGATTAATACCAACATTTCTTGCATGTAGAATTACAAAACAGTATAATTATTGGCAAAGCAAAAAATTAGAAACAAATTCCTGTAATTTAGAATTATAATAGCATCATGCATTTAATTGTGTTTAGAAGTCATGGTAGTAATATACCTTATATACTAACTACATATAAAACTATGGCCAGGTACAGGCAATAATACACTTTTACTGGTATAAGTGATTGGAAATCAGTCTATACAGAACAGAAATTTAGCACACACAAGACTGGTTTAAAAATGGCAGATGGTCTAAGATTTGCTCCCCCCACCGAAGGGCAGCTACGCGTTCTGTTTCTTACCCATCTAAACTACGCCGCTTACAGAAAGCCGCGTAACTTAGATCAGTTCCACCTCAGACTTTTTGAATGTCTGTACCTAGCTAAGCGCATCTCTACCCTGTCTTCTGCCTGGCTATAGACTAATACGGCTAACTCCTCTCTCTGCTCATGATTGGTTCTTAACACATCTGAGAACACACAAGGACACCAGAGTTTCTCTTTATTCAGCCATAAACCTTTTGAGCTTCTGGCTCCCAGCCCCGATACTTTGCGGTGGAAGTAGTTTTGTAATTTAGCTGAAGTCATGACGTATCAGGAAACCTAATAGTTTGGGCGTTGTCTCTAACAACCTGACATGTTTACTGTGGGAGGGCTTATCTTGAGTCACTGTTTCCTTTACTGCTTGTTTTCCCCGACAGCCCTGCTGTTTAGGCCTGTTCAGGCTGCTTACAGACGTTAAAATAGCAAACAAAAAAACCTGAGCTTTACATTAAACTGGGCACATTCCTGCACCAAGCCTAGACATACCCAGAAGAGGTATCGTGTTAGTTGGACCTGACTCTCCCAACATCTGTATAGATTGGTTGCTTTTGTGGGGCTTTTTGGTACTTTTGTTTAATAGCTGACTGAATCAGCTTTAAATAAAAGTGCCAAAAAGGCCCACTGAAGTGTTTGATCTATACAGATGTTGTGGAGCCAGACTGAACTAACGTGCTACTGCTTCTGGTAAAGCATGGAGGGTTTGGGAGATTTTTTTAATGTCTGTAAGCAACCTTACTACCATAATAAATACCCCAGTATAATCATTTAATAAACATCCCTACTGCCAAGGTAACATACAGCATTAATACATTTATACAGAGCATCTCCATATCTGTTAGTGTTATTGCTCCAACAAAAGAGAGATGATTAGCTGTGTTATCCTCAAGCCAGTCAGAAGGCAAAGCAGGGTGGCAACTTAGAGACTAACTGGTTTAGAAAGGCATGAACTTTCATAGGCAAAAGCCTACTTAATCAGAAGTACTTGCAGAATGGATGTGCAGAAAGTCCATTCATAGCATCTGATAAAGTAGGCAGCTGCCTACAAAAGCTTATACCTCTGAACCAATTAGTTCTGGGATGCCACGCTGCCCTGCCTTCGGTCCAGCAAATAGTATCACCTAATCCAAACAAAAACCCCTTGCTTCTCACATCTTTCCTGGACCATTTTTACTACAAGAACATGCCAACCCTAATTCTAAAATTTGGAGCAAGACTACATGATTTTAACTTTTGTAGTCGGTGACTTGAGATGTTTGGCTGCAGGCAAGTTATGTTTTTTATAGTTATTTCTTATGCAAAACAACTTAAAATCTTTTTATAGTTTAGACTTGAGTATTGCACATGCTTAAACATGTGCTTAACTTTAAGCATTTGAGTAATTCCCATCAAACACATAAAGTGCAAAGGGACAGTCCTAGATTAAATTTCAACATGAACCTACATTTCCAGGATTACAGCCTTGTATATCTTTCAGTACATGCAACAACTAACCTCAGCAAAATGACTTTATAGGCCTTGAGAACTGCAAGAACTCCTCTGCTCTTTTATATTTTCTCATTTGTATGTGCTCATTTTCAGTGCTACCCTTTGGTATTAATTTTTCCTTAAGGAATTCAAGCAAGTACAAATTCTGTACAAAGACAGACCAAGTAATCCCAGCAAACAATGTGCACTTGTTCCATATCTGAGAAGACTTTCAGGGAGAGAACATATTTTGATCGTATCAAAATATGGTGAAAAGATTGGCTAGAAATGCATCCTGCCTCCGGGTTATTATTGATTCCTAATACGTTTTCAAAGAGAGAGACTCGTATGTAGCAGAGGACTGAGTTATCTGCAGGCCTTCCTTGATGATCTGATAATCTTGTTGGAAGACGAACAGATTAAGTAAAATAGAAAAGATTGCTATAAGTTGCTCATGAATAAATTCAAGGAATTATGTTCTGTATTCCAAGTAATGTCTAAAAAATGTCTCAGATTTACCTCTTGCTCCTTATTTAAAATTGCTTTAGGCTAAAGACTTTATTAAAGCCAAGAATAAAATTAACAAATTGACATAGGGTAGAAGATGACATTTATGCCATACAAAACCCAGACACTTAGGCTGTCAACATAGCATGGACATGGCCAACCTGTGGCATGTGTTTCACACATGGTGAGGTCAGCCTCTCTATGTGGCGTGCAGCAGACAGTGGAGACAAGCAGCACAGTGCAGATAGGACAGGGAGCAGAAATCAGAGCAGCAGATCAGGCAGGGAGCACAGGACAGGGAGCAGAAAGCAGAGAAGTTGTTTGGATAGAGGATGGGGATCAGAGTGGCACTCGAAGGATGTGTGGCTAATTTGTGGCACAGTTGCCAAATAGGTTATCCCCCTACTGGTATAGCACATATGAGCATTGTCTATCTGATTCTGCTTAGTGTACATTAAAGGTTAAAATGTGTGTTCAAATCATGTGTGTCACCTGGAAGAAATGAGCACGATCCGGCATGTAGTCCAAACCAGGATCATAAAGGGATATTGTGTGCTGTAATGAGTACACAGTATTAAGTATCTTTGCTTGCAGAATTGCTGCCCCTTTCCCTCCTCGCTCCCTACCTTGCTGCAAATCTTCTTTGGGGAATGAGTCTGCTAGCGTAACTCTTAAAAGTTATTATGAGCATGCAGCTAGGCAGATCGCAAACTCGTAACCCCTGTTCAAGGAGATGTACCCACTGTGAACTTGCTAAGGCTTGTACAATGTGGACATCTGTAGGGTCTCCAGTCAATGGCAGGAATCTGTTACAGTTTGCACCCTTGTTGTTTATCTTTATCAGATTCTTTATTTTTATTCCACACCATTAACCTTTTTAAGTACTTTGCTTTGTTACAAGTCAGCTAATAAAGCTGGGTTAATAAGTTGGCAACATTCATTATACAAACCATTGAGCCTACTATGTTCTATATCTAACTCTCATACAGGGCGCTTACACACAGGGTTAATTTTTTGCACAATCAGAAAGTGCTCTGCAGCTGTGACTTAATACACGTGCATGATTACAGAGCCCTTTTAAAATGGTGACTGCATGAAAAAATAACCCTGGCCAAATGAAGGATTAGGTTAAGGCACTCTAAAGCAGAGCTCCTTAGGGAACTTGTGTTCCCTCCAGGAAGGAGAGGGGCAGCACAGAGCTGTGGGCTGCTTTTGAATAACCAGAGCTGAGTGGAGGGACAGGGTGAAATGGAGCCCCCTCGCCTCATGGGCCTCCCCCAGCTACCTCCGCTGGGATATTGGGGGGAGCCAAGCTGGGCAAGGGGGAGGGGGCTGCCTTCTCCCACCTTCCCATGTGGGGCTCCTGACAGCAGCAGCACAGAGCTTCCAGTTGCTTCTGAATGGCCAGAGTTGAAGTGTAGAGCTTGGCTCCCCTCCCATACTCCACCTTGTGGGGGCGGGGGGCATGTGAGGTGAGGGGGCTCCATTATACTCTGCTCCCCCCTTGGCTCTGGCCATTCAAAGCTGCCAGCAGCTCTGTGCTGCCACTCCCCCTTCCCTCTCCTTCCCCTGCTGACAGCCCTGGAGCTGGGAGTGGGGCTGGGGAGAGGGGCAGTTTGGCCGCCTCCATCAAGGCTGCTGGCGTGCCCCTGCGGGCTGGCCAGGGCCCATGCAGGCAGGCTCCAGTCGTCCTGTGACCCAGCATGTGAACATCTGTTGGGTCAGAAGGACGGGCTCTAACTCATGGCGCTTTATCTAAAGCTGTAAGCACGCACAGTCTTCTGGAGACAGATTTAGAAACCTCTTTTCCTCTTTGTTTTCATATGATACAAGTAACTTCTCTAGGAACAAACTTTCAGAACCATAGGCACATAACACCTCCTATTAAATACAGAGGTTGTTAGCACTGTTGGTCTGCAGTGAGGCAGAAGGTAAGGCAGGATAGCACTTTAGAGAAACAGGTTCAGGAGGCATGAGCGTTCATAGGTGGCCACCTACTTTGTCAGATGCTGTGCTTTTCCTGATGACCCATTCTGGCAGCTGCTGACACCGGGAAGGGAGGTGCAGAAGCTGAGGCAGAGAATACAGCCAGGTCAGCTTGAGGACTCTCTTTACTTTCTTGCTAGTTAGCTAAGTTATCCTGGAGCCTTCATGAAGTAGGCTTTGGTCTACAAAAGCTCATGACTCTCTGAACTAGTTAGTCTCTGAGGGCATTTATACATATGCCTTTTCGTGCTGCGATGCACCTGAGATCCAACACATCGGAGCAGATTCAACTAATCGCGTGCAGTTGCACAAGCAGAGAAGTGCACGTCAGCATGCAGAAAATGGCAGTGGTCCACTTTTGATGTGTTTTAGTTCAAAAGTGCACTGCTGCCAGTTTCTTAGCACTGATGCACATTTTGCTGTTTATGTACATGCAAAGCACCCAGTGCTGTGGTGCAAGCATGTGTACAAATGCCCTAAGGTGCCATTCCACCATGCTTTCTATTTTCTGTTTTCTATTTCTAGTGTCTTTAAGGAGGTTTTGTGCTGCTAACAGAACAGAAAGCTAAAAGTAAAATTGATTTGGGCCCAGATTTATGTGGGTGTTGCTCCACTTCTCCCCACCCAGGCTGTATTTAGCATAAAATAAATTTGTATCGATTGAAATGATTTCCTACCTCAGTAAGAGCCTTCTGATACTTCCTGGCTTGATTAAGACCCCAGTTATTTGACCCCAGCAGTCTTTCCAGCCCAGAGCAGGGGGGCTGGACCCGATGATCTCACAAGGTCCCTTCCAGTCCTAAACTTCTGTGAATTTGTGAGATATCATTGCTATCTATGTCAACATTAAGGACAGCAACAAATGTATTTAGAAGGATCTTCAGCAACCTGAAAACTGTCAGAAAGACTTCACAGTAGAGAAATTATTTTTAAAAGTTATGTTGAGACTGAATTTATGTTATGCATTAAACACATCTGGTCTTGTCTGAGCAATACCGTTCAGGTGGATAACCATTTTCAAAGCCCAATTAAAAAACAAAACAAAACAAAATAGTCTGCAAAAGTCAGAATGGTTTTAGGGATCTGAGGAAATGATGTCATTTGGAAGGATGACATCCTGGCTTATGTAACACTCTTAAAGGCAACATATTTTACTAACAGGTCTATTCACAGTATAATGTAACTGGAACTACATAGGACAACCTGTATGTTACAACAACCTCAGGTTTTCTGTCTGTCTACTTCAATAGTCATCTGAGCCCCAGTGGTGTTGATCTGATCTAAGTGCAGGTCTAAAAGCCAGGAATTGATGAGTTCTACCTTTGGCTTTTGCCAATGACTCACTTCCATGCTTTGTCTCAGGTGGCCTATATGCAAAGTGGGGATAATTTATGTGGCTCACAGGTCTTCTGAGGATGAACTATTTAGAGTGCAGTTCATATTCCAGTTTGCAGAAGATGCTGAGCACTTTGCAGGAAATCAGACTTTAAAGTCTGTACAGTGCTTTGAACTTGTGGAGCACAGCATATCACTTTTAAATATTAGTACAAGCTATTTTTTTTACTATGCCTGAGTTCACTATTAACACACTCTGAGCAGAAGAAGGTTTGTTTTTTCCCCAGTCCAGACATTCTGCGCACACATTTCCAATTGCTTTCAGCAGCATGACATTTCTTTTGAATCATTACTGATACCATTTTGTGATCATATTGGTGATGATTACTGTTTAATGAGCATATTTAGTCAATTGGGAAACACATGGATGAAGAATCATAGACACACTCTCCACCCCATCCCTTTCTCACACGCACGCACACCCACCCACCC